CGAATCGTGACAAGGGGCGGTCGGGTAGCCTAGTGGTTAAAGCGTTCGCTCGTCACGCCAAAGACCCGGGTTCGATTCCCGACATGGGTACAATGTGTGAAGCCCATTTCTGGTGTCCCCCGCCGTGATATTGCTGGAATATTGCTAAAAGCGGCGTAAAACCATACTCACTCACTCACTCACTCGAAACGTGACAATCCGCTTCATTCACTGTTTTGAGCTCTGTCCCTTTCAACTTTGCTTTTAACTATTCTTGTGACAGAGTGAAGAATATAAAATTTAATCCTTTATGACATAGGCGTTTTTATTTATGTATATATAGTATGACGGTAACTCAATTTGGATAAAGTTAAGAATTGAACAAACCGTTTGTCGTGGAACTAGTGAGTAAATATGAAACTGACATATGTGTCCTGCGATGTTGATGGATTTCTGGTTCAACCAAAGTAACACACACTTCAACAGATGAAACAGTATGTGTAAGTCACAGAGTCACAGTCAGTCTTTAATAACACTTCCGTGCTCCATATTAAACCAGCCATCACGACAGGTCAATATCCAACACACCATGCATTGAAGCTCGGAGAATGAGCTGGGATAACCTGCGTCAAACGTTTTGTGGGCGTATAAAATGTTTAAACATTGTTCAATACCAATGTTGCTATGACCTTATATTTGGCAAACTCAAGAAATATCGATTGCGTCTTAGTTCATTAAGGCGGCGCAGTGAATAGCCTCCGGAGACTGCTGTATAACGCCCTCATGGAGAACATCCATGCGATACATCGATACGTTAGACTGAGCCGTGCCAGAGTCATCGTCACGCGCACGGCATCCCTTAAAGGCGGACTACACTGCAATATTCACCCACCACCCACCACCCACCACCCCATCATCGCACCCATGCCCCTTACTTATTGCCACAGAAAAAGCGCGTCATAGATACTTATATCTTTCAGGTTGACCGCCTACATGGTCTAGTGGAAGAGCGTCCGGGGTTCGATCCTCGGCCGCGTCATACCAAAAGACGTTAAAAGATGGTACTTGTTGTTACCCTGTCTGGCGCTCGGCATTATGGGGCTAGAACAAGGACTCGTCGGCTCGGAGTCAGAACACTGTGTCTGATTTGGGTAAGAGTGTCATGTTAAACTGCGACATGGTATCGCAGAGGGCTAGCACTATAACACCGGCATAAGTACAAGCAGCCACAGCCACACACACACACACACATACACAAACACGCGAGCGAGAGCAAATATCTAGCTATATAAGTGCAATAACCTTGGACGCGACGTTAAGCCCCATTTCACCTCACCTTCACCTCACCTTACCTTTCTAGCTCGTATTTTCAACAATCTCATTAAAATCAGATCTAAGTTCTCGCTGCCGCTAATCAAAGATCTGAGGACATCCCATAACGGGTCACTTCAGAACCAACCTTTTGCGAACTTCGACAGACCACTGGAATGACATCAGCCAATTAGAAAGCAGCTTTCTTGAGCTTTACAGCATTCGTTTCAACCTGGCGATTTCCATTTCAGACTATGCTTAAAACTATGTTGACACAGTTCTCGAAAACTGAACAAACGAACATTCCAGAACGTCTAATATATGGTTGCGATTGTATTGCAGTGCTTCCCACGTACTGTGCAACGCCTCCTCCGTTCAAATGTTTATCCCACGGAAGCGAGAGACAGACGATAATTTTGACGGAATCAGTCGTACGGGCCGTAACTGTCGTTCGGATTATCCCGTGTTAACGTTTTCGAGGTTGCATGATTTGAAAACACATTCCAACTGTCACTTTCATGACCTGTTTAGCGACGCTTTCATTGGTCGGATGAAAGGTCGTTCTGACGTGACCCGTAATGGGATGTCCTCAGGTCTTTGTTTAGCGATAGCGAGAACTGAGATCTGATTTTAATGAGATTGTATTTCCAATGACCTTTCATTCTCCTTCTGACAAGTGAATCATTTGAATTCATTTGAATCTGGCCAGTGTTCTGTGGTTCTACTGCTCTTCTGGTTTGTTTTCAACTCTGAACACATACATACACATGTTGCGAGTACAACTCGGTAAAACACCGCAGGCTCTCACTATCGCTACATATACCTGTCGCATGTATAATTACTACAGGTTGCCAGATGTATTATCTACATGTATAGCTTGTAGCATACACACTATTTAACACAATTTCCACTGTATATTCTGTACCCATGTCAGTAGGCTATTGTACACCAGCCATACATACCATCCATTGTTGTAATGGGCATTCGGGGTATACAGTGTGTCGTGTGTGTGCTACAAGCCGTCCCCTTTCTCCGTCCTCCATTCTATTTATGTAACTATGGATATTTCTAACCGCTATAAGCCCTCCGTTGACTCATGCTCAAAGCGCTAACTCCATTATTACCCCGGCTAATGGATCAGGTTACAGACACAAAACCATCTCATCCTTCCGGGTACCCATTCACTGCTGGGCTAACAGAGTCACATTTCGAACAAAGTATATGTGCTATATGTTCTTCAGTTTGTGGCAGGACCGAAGACCTAGAAACTCTCAGGAGTCAAGCTGCCGAACACCGTCAGCTATATAACTACCCTTGTAGGACCACGTGCCCCGACAGAGTTTTGTGTGGGTGTGTTAGGCCGCACAGTGCCGTTTTCGTGGAGAACACGTTCAGAAAACTTCAGTCAGCCATGTAACAGTCTCTGCTCTGTGTGTTCGTGTTCCCTTTATTGATAGCCTGTTTATGTAAAGCTTAAATGAGATATGTAAATAAATGTTATGCCTTAATTACCAGATGGTCTTTAGTAGTTGGTTTCAGGAACTCAGGGAGTCTGAAACTAGCATTTCAAATTTACGAGCACACAAACGCCAGTAAACGACCAACAATCCATCATGTCGGGAGCACCCAGGACAACTAAGTGACTCGGTGTAAATAGTCAAAGACAATCAGTAGGTAAACTGTATCTAAAGAAAATGTAAAATAGTCTCCATCTCTCCAAGTGCCATCACAATTGGTCCCAGCAACAAAGGACACACCATAATAGATAGTGGAGAGACAATGACAGTCCAATTCTATATAACTATAGTCGGTTTGATTTCCATATGGCGTTAGTCTTTTTAATTCAGGAAGATAAGGACAACTGACAGCGAGGAAGGAAAGGACAACTGACAGCGAGGAAGGTAAGGACAACTGACAGCCAGGAAGATAAGGACAACTGACAGCGAGGAAGGTAAGGACAACTGGCAGCCAGGAAAGTAAGGACAACTGACAGCGAGGAAAGTAAGGACAACTGACAGCCAGGAAGATAAGGACAAGTGACAGCGAGTAAGGTAAGGGCGGCTGACAGCCAGGAAGGTAAGGACAACTGACAGCCAGGAAGGTAAGGACGGCTGACAGCGCTGAAGGTAAGGACAACTGACAGCGAGGTAGGTAAGGACAACTGACAGCCAAGAAGGTAAGGACGGCTGACAGCGAGGAAGGTAAGGACAACTGACAGCCAGGAAGGTAAGGACAACTGACAGCCAAGAAGGTAAGGACGGCTGACAGCCAGGTAGGTAAAGACAACTGACAGCCAGGAAGGTAAGGACAACTGACAGCCAGGAAGGTAAGGACAACTGACAACCGGAAAGTAAGGACAACTGACAGCGAGGAAGGTAAGGACAACTGACAGCCAGGAAGGTAAGGACAAGTGACAGCGAGGAAAGTAAGGACAACTGACAGCCAGGAAGGTAAGGACAACTGACAGCCAGGAAGGTAAGGATGGCTGACAGCCAGGAAGGTAAGGACAACTGACAGCGAGGAAGGTAAGGACAACTGACAGCCAGGTAGGTAAGGACGGCTGACAGCGAGGAAGGTAAGGACAACTGACAGCCAGGAAAGTAAGGACAACTGACAGCGAGGAAAGTAAGGACAACTGACAGCCAGGAAGATAAGGACAAGTGACAGCGAGTAAGGTAAGGGCGGCTGACAGCCAGGAAGGTAAGGACAACTGACAGCCAGGAAGGTAAGGACGGCTGACAGCGCTGAAGGTAAGGACAACTGACAGCGAGGTAGGTAAGGACAACTGACAGCCAAGAAGGTAAGGACGGCTGACAGCGAGGAAGGTAAGGACAACTGACAGCCAGGAAGGTAAGGACAACTGACAGCCAAGAAGGTAAGGACGGCTGACAGCCAGGTAGGTAAAGACAACTGACAGCCAGGAAGGTAAGGACAACTGACAGCCAGGAAGGTAAGGACAACTGACAACCGGAAAGTAAGGACAACTGACAGCGAGGAAGGTAAGGACAACTGACAGCCAGGAAGGTAAGGACAAGTGACAGCGAGGAAAGTAAGGACAACTGACAGCCAGGAAGGTAAGGACAACTGACAGCCAGGAAGGTAAGGATGGCTGACAGCCAGGAAGGTAAGGACAACTGACAGCGAGGAAGGTAAGGACAACTGACAGCCAGGAAGGTAAGGACAACTGACAGCCAGGAAGGTAAGGACAACTGACAGCGAGGAAGGTAAGGACGGCTGACAGCCAGGAAGGTAAGGACAACTGACAGCCAGGAAGGTAAGGACAACTGACAGCCAGGTAGGTAAGGACGGCTGACAGCGAGGAAGGTAAGGACAACTGACAGCCAGGAAGGTAAGGACAACTGACAGCCAGGAAGGTAAGGACAACTGACAGCCAGGAAGGTAAGGACGGCTGACAGCCAGGAAGGTAAGGACAACTGACAGCCAGGAAGGTAAGGACAACTGACAGCCAGGAAGGTAAGGACAACTGTCAGCCAGGAAGGTAAGGACGGCTGACAGCCAGGAAGGTAAGGACAACTGACAGCCAGGAAGGTAAGGACTAACTGACAGCCAGGCCACGCATCAACCGACCCTGAAGCTCGTCGTGACCAGGCTCCGTGTGGCAACCATTGATTAAGCTAAATTTGGTCTCCAGTGCATCAATTACACTGGGATCAGATCTTGACGCTGCGAGTAAAGTGTTGTCCGCCTACCTTTTCCCCAGAGGCAGAACCGATCATCAAAGTAAATCTCCTCCTTCTCATGTTCAACCTCAGTTCGTCGGAGGCCTTCGTGAACATGCTCGCGCCATTTCGCACGTGCAGATCCGCGGAATCGAAGTTCAACACCTGCAAGAAAAGTGAATATACAGTGATTTATCCTTCCTCATAAATACCGAAAAATGAAAATAAATTATTTTGAAAAACAACAATGATAAAGCAACGTGCGAATTGTATAATAATATTCCAACATGAGTGACATATTGTCACACCTTACAATTATAAAAATTCTCCAAATAATTGGGAGTGGTGTTAAACTTTAGATGTAATAAGGATGTACGTATTGTAAGGATGAACTTGCAGTCAGTGTGTTTCATCTTCGGCACTATACAGATCATAATACAATCGTAAGATTTGTCAATTACGAGTATAATATATTAATCTTTATATAACTGATATAAACTTGTGGCCAAGACACAATCATGAGACACATTCACAACGCCAGTAAGTCTAACCATGCCGCCAGTCCTTCCAGTCTAACCAACCACCACCCACCCCCCCACCCCCCCCCCCCCCCCCCCCTTCCCCCACCCCCCTCCCCCTAGCGCGCCTTATTGATGTCAGTGAGCGCCACTACACGTCCCTCCGGACTGTCACACCACTGCTGATTAGGCGCTCCACGCTGCGTTCAACATTATAAGAGAGAGAGACTGGCTCCAAGCCATACACTTCAACATCGATATCATTGTCTTGTTACAGCACAGCTGATCGTTAAGTTGTACCAGTGATTTGACCGCAGTGACGTTACGTTGAACCAGGTTTATGACTGCAATGACATTAACTTGTACCATTGTTATGACTGCAATGGCAAAAACTTGTACCAGTCTTATGACTGCAGTAATTGTACAACTGTTATGACTGAAGTGACATTAACTTGTACCATTGTTATGGCCACATGGACATTAAACTGTACCAGTCTTATGACTGAAGTGACATTAAGCTGTACCACTGTTATGGCCACATGGACAATAAACTGTACCAGTCTTATGACTGAAGTGACATTAAGCTGTACCATTGTTATGGCCACATGGACATTAAACTGTACCGGTCTTATGAATGCAATGACATTAACTTGTACCATTGTTATGACCACAATGACATTAAATTGTACCCGTGTTATGACTGCAGTGACATTAAATTGTACCATTCTTATTGTCGCAGTGACATTAAATTTTACCAGTGTTAAGACCGCAGTGACATTAACTTGTACGAGTGTTGTGACCACAATGACATTAAGTTGTACCAGTGTTGTGACCGCAGTAACATTCCGCTGCACTAGTGCTATGACCGCAGTGACATTCCGCTGCACTAGTGCTATGACCGCAGTAACATTCCGCTGCACTAGTGCTATGACCGCAGTGACATTCCGCTGCACTAGTGCTATGACCGCAGTAACATTCCGCTGCACTAGTGCTATGACCGCAGTGACATTCCGCTTCACTAGTGCTATGACCGCAGTGACATTCCGCTGCACTAGTGCTATGACCGCAGTAACATTCCGCTGCACTAGTGCTATGACCGCAGTGACATTCCGCTTCACTAGTGCTATGACCGCAGTAACATTCCGCTTCACTAGTGCTATGACCGCAGTGACATTCCGCTTCACTAGTGCTATGACCGCAGTAACATTCCGCTGCACTAGTGCTATGACCGCAGTGACATTCCGCTTCACTAGTGCTATGACCGCAGTAACATTCCGCTGCACTAGTGCTATGACCGCAGTGACATTCCGCTTCACTAGTGCTATGACCGCAGTGACATTCCGCTTCACTAGTGCTATGACCGCAGTGACATTCCGCTTCACTAGTGCTATGACCGCAGTGACATTCCGCTTCACTAGTGCTATGACCGCAGTAACATTCCGCTGCACTAGTGCTATGACCGCAGTGACATTCCGCTTCACTAGTGCTATGACCGCAGTGACATTCCGCTGCACTAGTGCTATGACCGCAGTGACATTCCGCTGCACTAGTGCTATGACCGCAGTAACATTCCGCTGCACTAGTGCTATGACCGCAGTGACATTCCGCTTCACTAGTGCTATGACCGCAGTGACATTCCGCTGCACTAGTGCTATGACCGCAGTAACATTCCGCTGCACTAGTGCTATGACCGCAGTGACATTCCGCTTCACTAGTGCTATGACCGCAGTAACATTCCGCTTCACTAGTGCTATGACCGCAGTGACATTCCGCTTCACTAGTGCTATGACCGCAGTAACATTCCGCTGCACTAGTGCTATGACCGCAGTGACATTCCGCTTCACTAGTGCTATGACCGCAGTAACATTCCGCTGCACTAGTGCTATGACCGCAGTGACATTCCGCTTCACTAGTGCTATGACCGCAGTGACATTCCGCTTCACTAGTGCTATGACCGCAGTGACATTCCGCTTCACTAGTGCTATGACCGCAGTGACATGCTGTGTTGTATGGATCACAGCGAAGCCGGACATTGATTCGTCAGTCCAGCCAACATCGCCCTCATCCTGCTCCAGAGCACAGGAAGGTGTACTGCGTTCTCTAACACGCTGCTCTTGTGGTAGAGAATCCTTGTTGGCAATAACCGAGCCCTGACCTCCGGCAGCATACACGGTGTCATTGTACGACATGGAGTATTCATGACTTGAGTAAAAACGGATCCGACAATATTTATTGTTCTCGGATTCTCATTGTTCAAATCTCATTATCCGGCGATACAGCGTCATCTGGCGTGTGTGGTGCAGTGTTAAGAAATACATTTTACAAAGAGGATATTGTCAAATATGTTAAAACACCTGCGTCTTTCGTAGCCGTGCAGTATGGTCACATTTCCAAACACTGGTCAACAAATATTAATTTCGGTAATGTCGCTGTTGGAAGTAAACTGATTGCAGCCATTCCGGCATAGCGCTTACAGTGGCTGGTGGCACTTTCAAGCACTGCATATATATTTGCACAGAAGGTATTGTCCTGCCAGTGACAGACACTGGCATTTATTAAAGATTAAATTTAAAGAGAAATTTGCGACATAGCAACAATTCCATTTTTTGGGAAAACGTACAAAGCCCAAACACAAACTTTCGGGTAAACTCCATCAGAAAACACTGACCATATACAAAATGATATTCTCGGAAAGTTGAGAAATCAAACGATATGAAAATAACTATATGCACTCGCGGTGTGCCACGGTGTATTAGTACATGATTCATATGGTCATGGCGATACGTAACGGAGCCTTTCTGAATAAATACGCTGTCTAACATAACAGGATGTTCTGTACAGCGATCCTGGCGAGATGGACGAGAGAGTTATATTTCCTGGTATTGTTTCCTCCACGTCGGTAGTGTATTCCGTGCTTCCGTCCCTTTATAGCTACACACAGGTAGCGAGACAAACGGATAGGGCTCACACTGTCATCTGTCAGTCTAATAACGGGTCACTGGTAGTTGTGGAGACTATTTGGGAATGACAAGGAGGCAGTAACGGCCCCAGGGTCCTTCCTTGTACTGGTTGTGGGGGAGGACGACGTGAGGGCTAGTTTGTCTCCTGAGCTGGTGAGGCTCAGCGCTGGACAGGATTATGACGGTGCCACAAACCACTCCTGTGAGGACACGGAGATCGACAGCTTGGAGGAAGACAGATAGTTGATTTTTTTAACAAATATAGAAGTGTGTTGACGTCCAATTGGTGTCGTTCTCTGTAAATCAGGGATAAGTTGAAAGCTAATTGTTTTTTATTTGTTTCATACTCTGTTTTCAAGGAAAAGGGTTAAACGTACACTTTTCGTTTCACTCGCGTATTCAGATCCGTCTATATCGTCTCGCGGCAGTACAAACACAGACAACAGTGTATTCATATCTGTCTATATCGTCTCACGGCAGTACAAACACAGACAACATTGTATTCATATCTGTCTATATCGTCTCGCGGCAGTACAAACACAGACAACAGTGTATTCATATCTGTCTATATCGTCTCGCGGCAGTACAAACACAGACAACATTGTATTCATATCTGTCTATATCGTCTCACGGCAGTACAAACACAGACAACATTGTATTCATATCTGTCTATATCGTCTCGCGGCAGTACAAAAACCAAACAACAGTGTATTCATATCTGTCTATATCGTCTCGCGGCAGTACAAACACAGACAACATTGTATTCATATCTGTCTATATCCTCTCACACCTGCAGTACAAACACAGACAACATTGTATTCATATCTGTCTATATCCTCTCACAGCTGCAGTACAAACACAGACAACATTGTATTCATATCTGTCTATATCCTCTCACACCTGCAGTACAAACACAGACATAAATTGTATTTTATATCGGCCTATATCCTCTCTCTCTTGTAGTATAAAGACAACATTGTATTCATATCTGTCTATATCCTCTCACAGCTGCAGTACAAACACAGACAACATTGTATTCATATCTGTCTATATCCTCTCACAGCTGCAGTACAAACACAGACAACATTGTATTCATATCTGTCTATATCCTCTCACACCTGCAGTACAAACACAGACAACATTGTATTCATATCTGTCTATATCTTCTCACACCTGCAGTACAAACACAGACAACATTGTATTTTATATCGGCCTATATCCTCTCTCTCTTGTAGTACAAAGACAACATTGTATTCATATCTGTCTATATCCTCTCACAGCTGCAGTACAAACACAGACAACATTGTATTCATACCTGTTTATATCCTCTCACAGCTGCAGTACAAACACAGACAACATTGTATTCATATCTGTCTATATCCTCTCTCTCCTGTAGTACAAACACAGACAACATTGTATTCATATTTGCCTACATCCTCTCACACCTGCAGTACAAACACAGACAACATTGTATTCATATCTGTCTATATCCTCTCGCTACAGTACAAACACTGACAACATTGTATTCATATCTGTCTATATCTTCTCTCTCCTGCAGTACAAACACAGACAACATTGTATTCATATCTGTCTATATCCTCTCTCTCCTGTAGTACAAACACAGACAACATTGTATTCATATCTGTCTATATCCTCTCACAGCTGCAGTACAAACACAGACAACATTGTATTCATATCTGTCTATATCCTCTCTCTCCTGCAGTGCAAACACAGACAACATTGTATTCATATCTGTCTATATCCTCTCTCACCTGCAGTACAAACACAGACAACATTGTATTCATATCTGTCTATATCCTCTCGCTGCAGTACAAACACAGACAACATTGTATTCATATCTGTCTATATCCTCTCACAGCTGCAGTACAAACACAGACAACATTGTATTCATATCTGTCTATATCCTCTCACACCGGCAGTACAAACACTGACAACATTGTATTCATATCTGTCTATATCCTCTCTCTCCTGCAGTGCAAACACAGACAACATTGTATTCATATCTGTCTATATCCTCTCACACTTGCAGTACAAACACAGACAGCATTGTATTCATATCTGTCTATATCCTCTCTCTCCTGCAGTACAAACACAGACAGCATTGTATTCATATCTGACTATATCCTCTCTCTCCTGCAGTGCAAACACAGACAACATTGTATTCATATCTGTCTATATCCTCTCACACCTGCAGTACAAACACAGACAGCATTGTATTCATATCTGTCTATATAATCTCGCTGCAGTACAAACACGCACATCATTGTATTCCTGTCTGTCTATATCCTCTCACACCTGCAGTACAAACGCAGACGCAGTTGTATTCATATCTGCCTATATCGTCTCACGCCCTCAATATTTGTATTGACATCTCGATTGATCGCGTCGACTGTACGATTGCGACTACATGAAGGGCATGTGTTAATGAAACACGATCAAAGAGTGGTGATACCAGGTGTTCCCGAAGGTTGAGCGTAACCTGCCCCACGCTGTGTTGATCCTGCCAGTTGTTGGCAACTTGCGTGCACACACTCCTATACACAGACATGGACAAACACGCGTTGGATGTCAACAGTCTTAAATTCGGAAATCCATTGAGAGGACAATCGCCTTATCCAGTGTAATTTTAAGCCTTCTACCCCCTGGAAAGAAACGGTTTCATAAACCAAAATAATGTCCAAAACGTCTAAGCAGAAGGCGCAGCTCCGACGTATGGAATCCAAGCTGCTGGCGGATGAGCAACTACGACACAATACGTATGTAATCCAAGCTGCTGGTGGATGAGCAACTACGACACAATACGTATGGAATCCAAGCTGCTGGCGGATGAGCAACTTCGACACAATGCGTATGTAATCCACGCTGCTGGCGGATGAGCAACTACGACACAATACGTGTGGAATCCAAGCTGCTGGCGGATGAGCAACTCCGACACAATACGTATAGAATCCAAGCTGCTGGTGGATGAGCAACTCCGACACAATACGTATAGAATCCAAGCTGCTGGTGGATGAGCAACTACGACACAATACGTATGTAATCCAAGCAAGAGGCCAATGAGCAACTCCGACACAATACGTATGTAATCCAAGCCAGAGGCGGGCGAGCAGCTCAGCAAGGACAAGTGGACCTTTAAGCCATTCTGCTGTTCTATTATGATATCTTATGACATTTTACTTCATTCTCAAGGTTATTCGGAAATCAGTCAAATTAGTCCAAGGAGCATTCAGTTCTTGTTTTGCTTACCTCGCCACCTTCAGAGTATTCAACTCTTCACTTTAAAAGCCATGAATGTGGACGAAGGTGACAGGTGCGTAAGTGGGTATTATAAGCTTATTACATTCTTACGATTCCCACTCACGGTCATGTTTCAAAACAATAAGAAAATATGGAATCTGTGAACAAATTCATGGGCATTCTACATTCGTTAGGTCAACAAAGTGACACCAGGTGTCCGCTGTGCGCATGCCCTGTTGTACCCCTAGCAACCGTTCTGTTGAGGGTCAATGTCACCATGGACTTAGTCCACAACCATTCTACAATCGTTCAGTTCCAGACAGTTGCTTTCTCTCAATAATATGAGATGAAGTATTTTGGTGAATTGGTTTGTATGAATTACAGATCGGTTTTTGAAGACGGTTGCACTGTCATAACCGTCACTCACCAGCCAGGAAGACGTTTCCGGGGAGGCTCCAGGAATTTGAAAGGGTGTGGGTGGGGAATTTGTTGATGACCACTCGCCACATCGAGGAAGATTTATTCAGACACACATGTAACGAAGCGGGAGTAATGTCTGAAGGAATACTACAACACCAAATGACAAAAACACCCTCCGTGACACCATGGTTCTACGACTTCTACGTTCTTCTACTGGTCTACGTTCTTCTACCGGTCTCAACGATACCAATAGCTTTTGGGTTCTTAGAAAAACAAATATCATATTTGAGACTGAAGAACAAACACCAATAATTGTGTCGTGTGAACAGAAACGAATATAAGCTGAAATATGTGTCAACATCGTCATACGTAACAATGATACATTTAACTAAATCAATCAGCAAATAGTTGTCAACTGTTTCACACGTGTGGTTAACCCTGTTGGAAATATCCACAACTGCTGGCAGAAGCACATCGATATCTTATGTTAGCAGTGTAGTCTCTGGGCTGAGTCTCTATCACGCCCATATTGATTCGAGGGCCGCGGAGCATCGCACGCTCATACAACCCACACCAGCAATCTCTCTAAATATTTCATAGCGGTTTTGTTATTGTGACAAAGCTAACATATATCCGGCGGTTGACCACGCTTGACCTTCCATTGTACTGAGCACGTTTATATCGCACAGTACACGATCTCATCGATCACATTATACGGAGTACCCGTGCTGCAGGCCGCGACCTCACGACCAAGCACAACGCTATGCCCTGCACTGGCTCCTCATGCTGTTTCAGTATGCAATAGTCTTTGCTTGAGACAAGAGGATGAAAACTTTACAAGACAGAACATTTGCTATGTAAAGATTACTGAGTGCGGCCATATTGGGCACGCCCTTTATGACTGACCTGCAATTGTGAGCGGTGTCGCTAGCTGCATTACGAGAGCCCCTCTCATCCGATCCCCGGAATAAAACACAAGTTCCGAGTGTTCCAGGTTAAGATCCACGGACGCCGAGCCAGCCGACGCCATCGCTGTGGCAGCAGCAGTACTACCAGCGGCTTGTCAGTGGGGCACTTTTCCCGCCATCTTACTTGTGATCATCTCGACTATTCCACGTACATCTCGTGCCACTCGCCTCCACGTGCCGAGATTTGTCACAATCACCATGGAAACGTGCCATGTCATTGTCATCAGATTTCACTGGCACATGTTGATCAATGAGCGAAATCACGTTAATCACAGGGACAGCGACCACATCGTTTGCTGACAGCGGCGGCCACGGACACGAGGCATCATGATGGAGACGAAGTCGCTGTATCACAGACCACGCTGCCTGCCCGGCTTCACCAGCCTCCACTCCCGATCGATGGGTTGGTTCTACGGGGGACACTCGCTCGGCAATTAGAACCCAGCTTTTGAATAACAAGTTTGAACGTTGCAGTTTTAGCACATACCGTAACCAATTATATGTCTTCTCGAAGTTTCTATTAAAAGCTAGTCATGTTTCGTGTCGGGAGGATCTCTGCTGGTCAAAAGTCTATTTGGGTTATCCGTAGAATGAGGAGTATATTTTCTTTCACTACATCGTGTTTGTCTGATAAGGCGCTTTAGCTGAAATAGAAGGCTACAGTTTACGTTCAGATTGCCACAAAAAGTCACAATAACTATCTGCCAACGACATTGCATTCAATAGCATGTTCTGCTTTAAATACAGTCAGAGATATTGACAGGTTTTCTGAACACAAGCTGATATGTGGAAACTGTGTTATCATACAAGGGTTGCTTGATAGGTTCTGAGCCTCACAAAGAGGGTCTTGGTACTAGTGAATGCTTTGTTGAGGACATTACATGATGTCACAGAGGTACATCCACGACATCCTGGGCCAATTGAGCCAATTATTTGGCCATGTCAGTAAAATAAGCAGGGTTTGTGACCTTTGGGACATGGACAAAGTTGAGGAATGCGCAGTGATCAAGTACTTTCAGAAAAAGCGTTTAACACCAAAAGCCACTATCGCCATCACGAGCGAAGGATGCCCATACCATGCCCCTGTAAAGAGCTAGAGACGGACAGGGAGACCCTGGGAGACGGCCTAAACGTCAGCAACACCAGAACTGCTCCCGAGAATCCACGATAAGGAGATGACCGACCGGCGAATGACTGAACTTCATATTGATTCAGTAGATTTCTCCCCACGAGAGAATTCTTTCCATTATCCCAGAAACTTTGTCAATGAAGAAGGTATCAGCATGTTGGGTCGCAGAGCTTCTTACATCTGATCAAAAAACGCAACAGACAGAACATGGTTTGCGATAAACTAGTTCTGTTGGAAGCTGATACTTAATGGTTCTTGCAATGATGTGTGACTATTGTTGAACCTGAGTTCAAACAACAATCAAAACGGCGAAAACACTTGCCATCACCAACGCCAAAGATGGCACAGACTGTCCCATCAGCGTGTAAGGTTATTATCTCCGTGTTCCGAGGCTGTCATCCTGGCGGACTGTCCAAAAGGCCAGACAATAAACGGAGCATTTTATGCGGCACTTTTGCACTAATTAAGACAAGGAGACGTGGGAAGCGGAGAAAAGATGTGCTCTTCCATCAGGACAATGCGTCAATGCACAAATCAAACATTGTCATGGCAAAAATCCACGGATGTGGCTTTAAACTCCGACAGCATACATCTGTACCCAAACATAAGGAAGGCTCGATGACGATCCCGTTTTGGTCTTACTACAAGTATATTGTATGAGGTCATCTGGAAGCTCCAAGTGATGTTGGCCAGCGATCTTTACTGCGGGGCTGGCTGGTGGGTCCGGTCCGGTCCGTTTCCCAACCACATTAATGAGCTGTGTGGAATTCAGATCATCAAACACAACATTGTGTAAGGGAGTGGAAAGCATAACGTACCCGATATGATGACGGTAGTTGGATCCTGCGTAATTTAGTTGCAACACCTGTTACGCAAGCAGCCATGTCACCCGGCCTGGCCACCTGTTCCATCTAGGCGGACTGTAACATATTACCCGGGACCAGATACCAAGCATCCCCACACGCGAATCACAGCCACAGCGTTTGCTATATTACTCCGCCGGTCCGCAGATCGGTGTGCAGTCATATTACGTCCTCAACTCCCTGGGAAGGATACAAGCGAAGTTACCTGTCAGATGCTAGAAGGTCTGCATACCCGGGCTCTTGGTATTATGGAATACCGACGCCCTGTCCGTTTGCCTTCTACAGTAATAATTATTGTAATGAAGTTCTCTCATGGTGGATGAGTAAAATACTCCTATATGTATCTCACACAATAGGCATGCATCGTTGTCAAACAATTTCGTTTTCCTAAGGCGGTATTTGTTTGTGTATTAACCTACACGTGTTTGTAATGGTTTTACATATTACAGTGTCGGTACCGAGTGAGTGTATTAATGCAGGTATCATCGTCATGTAAAAGTCCAGTTTCCACCCTTGCCGAACTAGGCTGGAATCTCTGGGCTCGATCGTAGCGCCAACAGTGGCTATTACGAGTAATGTCCTATTCTATGTCCCTCCTATTGACCAATCAGATATTCCACCTCTCGTATCACTTGCATTTGCTTCAGACAAGATTGTGGCGACCAGTCAAGATGATCTGATTGATAATCAAGATCATTATTGTAATGATGGTTAATGGTCTTAACTCGCGAAGTGCATCAGAACACTTGAGCACCTTGAAAAACATGAAAAGATTTGAAAAATATCTGTAGACGCCCAGTTGACGGTACACATGCTCTGCGAATCCTGCAATCGAGCGATATCTGCCCGGTAATTGCCATGTTGTTTATTACCCGTCACACGATTTTGATTGGACTATGCATAGACTCGTTAGTCCGGCCAAAATAAAACTCCATAACTCCAATCTAGTTCGGCAAGGGTAAAAACTGGATTTTTACAGTTAACTCCCTTGCCTCAGGAAGATGTGCAGGTATACAACCCATTCCTCACACAGCCAGCCCATGTTTACTAGCGGTGTTGGAATCTTCATCGAAACGTTGCTACAATCGTATAAAGAAGTGATCTCGCCTACATTCTTGTCATGTATTATATATACAACTTCTATGTGCCACTCAAACAGCTCATAAGAAAGTCTTCGAGTTCCCAATATGGTGAGACAATGCTGACGGTTACTGCAAGTGTACTTTACTTAAGATGAAGCGTCAACGCCAGATAATATTCAGCCTCAACCACCCGCCGAAACTGACTGAACCGAGCACAATAGGTGATGAAAACCAAACGATTGGATCACAGAAACTACGTCGTCACGCTGTGTCATCTTTTCAAAAAGAGTTACCACCAAGTATGAGCTGACTACCACCAGGTATGGACTGATCACCACCAGGTATGAGCTGACTACCACCAGGTATGGACTGATTACCACCAAGTATGAGCTGACTACCACCAGGTATGGACTGATCACCACCAAGTATGAGCTGATTACCACCAAGTATGAGCTGACTACCACCAGGTATGGACTGATCACCACCAAGTATGAGCTGACTACCGCCAGGTATGGACTGATCACCACCAGGTATGAGCTGATTACCACCAGGTATGGACTGATTACCACCAGGTATGACCTGACTACCACCAGGTATGGACTGATCACCACCAGGTATGAGCTGATTACCACCAGGTATGGACTGATTACCACCAGGTATGACCTGACTACCACCAGGTATGGACTGATCACCACCAGGTATGAGCTGATTACCACCAGGTATGGACTGATTACCACCAAGTATGAGCTGACTACCACCAGGTATGGACTGATCACCACCAGGTATGAGCTGATTACCACCAGGTATGGACTGATTACCACCAGGTATGACCTGACTACCACCAGGTATGGACTGATCACCACCAGGTATGAGCTGATTACCACCAGGTATGGACTGATTACCACCAGGTATGGACTGATTACCACCAGGTATGACCTGACTACCACCAGGTATGGACTGATCACCACCAGGTATGAGCTGATTACCACCAGGTATGGACTGATTACCACCAGGTATGACCTGACTACCACCAGGTATGGACTGATCACCACCAGGTATGAGCTGATTACCACCAGGTATGGACTGATTACCACCAGGTATGACCTGACTACCACCAGGTATGGACTGATCACCACCAGGTATGAGCTGATTACCACCAGGTATGGACTGATTACCACCAGGTATGGACTGATTACCACCAGGTATGACCTGACTACCACCAGGTATGGACTGATCACCACCAGGTATGAGCTGATTACCACCAGGTATGGACTGATTACCACCAGGTATGAGCTGATTACCACCAGGTATGACCTGACTACCACCAGGTATGGACTGATCACCACCAGGTATGAGCTGATTACCACCAGGTATGGACTGATTACCACCAGGTATGAGCTGATTACCACCAGGTATGACCTGACTACCACCAGGTATGGACTGATAACCACCAGGTATGAGCTGATTACCACCAGGTATGGACTGATTACCACCAGGTATGGACTGATTACCATCAGGTATGAGCTGATTACCACCAGGTATGGACTGATTACAACCAGGTATGGACTGATCACCACCAGGTATGGGCTGATTACCACCAGGTATGACCTGACTACCACCAGGTATGGACTGATCACCACCAGGTATGAGCTGATTACCACCAGGTATGGACTGATTACCACCAGGTATGAGCTGATTACCACCAGGTATGGACTGATTACCACCAGGTATGAGCTGATTACCACCAGGTATGGACTGATCACCACCAGGTATGAGCTGATTACCACCAGGAATGGACTGATCACCACCAGGTATGAGCTGATTACCACCAGGTATGGACTGATTACCACCAGGTATGACCTGACTACCACCAGGTATGGACTGATCACCACCAGGTATGAGCTGATTACCACCAGGTATGGACTGATTACCACCAGGTATGAGCTGATTACCACCAGGTATGACCTGACTACCACCAGGTATGGACTGATAACCACCAGGTATGAGCTGATTTCCACCAGGTATGGACTGATTACCACCAGGTATGGACTGATTTCCATCAGGTATGAGCTGATTACCACCAGGTATGGACTGATTACAACCAGGTATGGACTGATCACCACCAGGTATGGGCTGATTACCACCAGGTATGAACTGATTACCACCAGGTACGACCTGACTACCACCAGGTATGGACTGATCACCACCAGGTATGAGCTGATTACCACCAGGTATGGACTGATTACCACCAGGTATGAGCTGATTACCACCAGGTATGGACTGATTACCACCAGGTATGAGCTGATTACCACCAGGTATGGACTGATCACCACCAGGTATGAGCTGATTACCACCAGGAATGGACTGATCACCACCAGATATGAGCTGATTACCACCAGGTATGACCTGACTACCACCAGGTATGACCTGACTACCACCAGGTATGGACTGATTACCACCAGGTATGGACTGATCACCACCAGGTATGAGCTGATTACCACCAGGTATGACCTGACTACCACCAGGTATGGACTGATCAACACCAGGTATGACCTGATTACCACC